AAAGAGAAATCATTTCCCGGGAAGATGGCCATAGCACTATCCCTTCTCCTCCATTCTCCTCCTGGGATTTTAGGCGTGCACGCGCGCACACACACACACACACACACACACACACACATACGCTCAGTGTGATTTTCAAGTTGCTGGGTCTGGGACTCGAACTGTGGTCAGCCATGTGAGAGTTCAGCACCTTAAACACCATGCCAAATGCTGGCCCCACCAACTGGGTCTTTATTCAGCATGCTTTGCCATACATTTCTTCTCTCCGAGAAGAGAGAGCCGGACAGAGACCTAGACTTTGTCCCCCAGTGGGTAATAGGCGACAAGAACCAATGGGGACACCCTTGCTGGGTGCTGGAGCACCAGCTGTGCCCCTGTGCTAAGAGTTTGCCATTTTAATCCCTGTTAACTCCTGGTTTCTGATCCCACCTGCTTTATCTCCCCAGATCTCTGGCTGGACCCAAGCCCTGCCGGACATGGTGGTGTCCCACCTCTTTGGGAAGGTGAGTGGCGAGGTATGGCATTCTGCTGTCCACACTGAACATCATTACGTGGATCAGCATGGGGCCGCGTGTGCAGGGAAAGACAGACAAGACATGGGGAAGCAGGACGGCGGCACCGATGCCTGTGAATGATCCCATGTCACTCACTGGTAATCAAGTCGTTCGTTTGACGTGCACGACTTGGCACATTCTGACATCTCTAGGCATCCGTGAGACCACCCCGATGTCAGCACGCTAGACATCTCATCCCGAGACGGTCCCTCCTGCTCTCAGTGGTCTTTCGCTCTTTTCTCCGAGGCTGTTTCCGATCTGCTTTCCGTCACTATGGATGGGTTTGCAGTTCCTGGGTTTTCATGTAAATGGCCTCAGACAGGATATGCACTCTTGTCCTTTCTTGGTTTGGCTTCTTTTACTCAGTGTCATTCTTTTGAGATCTGTCCACATTATTGAGAGGGTCAACCATGGTATGGCCGCAGGACAGTTTGGTTTTCCGTTCACCCATTGGTGGGTCCCTGGTTTCCCATCCTGGACTGTCCTAAGTGAGGTCTACAGCAGACACGTCCCTGGTGTTCCCAGTATACAGGCTTTATGAGTATGTGGTGTCTGTCCCTGAGCCCTGTGACTTGTACCGTGAGAACTATTTTCATTCCTAGCTCATGGAGAAGGAGAGGCCAGAGAGGTTGAGTGACCTGGGTAAGGTCTCACAGCCAGGCAGAAGTGTGGGCAGGATTTGAACCTGAGTGTCTGGCCCCAGAGCCCATTCTTATAACTATGCGGGACACTGACTTTGTGCCCTGCTGTCGCCAGGCTCTGTGACACCATGCTCTTCTGCCGTTTCCTACCGAGGGCAGACCATGCCACACTCCCCAGGCATGCTGACAGTGTCTCGACTCCTCCTTATTATCCCTGCCAGCCTGGCCTGTGCCTTTGGGTTTTTATTTTTCACTGGGGCTGGCAGCTCTGGGAAAGGGTAGGCCACAGCTCCGATGTAAGACCCCACGCTGCCTGAACTCGAGGTCACGGCTCTGTTCCCTGTGTGTGGTCCCCACGGCACTCTGCTTCTGAGCTCACGAGTGTGACCGTCTGATGTCCACCTGGCCAGGTGGTGGTAGGCGGCAGCTGGTGAGACACCAGTGGGCATGGTCCTTGTATTACTTCCTGATGGCTACTCTAGCAGGTCTAGTTATGGGGAATGGGTGGCTTAGACCAGGGTCCCCAACCCTGGGCCATGGACAGTCCGTGGCCCGTCAGGAACTGGCCTACGCAGCAGGAGGGGGGTGGCGGCAAGAGCACAGCTTCTTCTGTTTCCAGCCGCTCCCCATTACCCGCATTCCCTCCTGTCCGAGGGCAGGCATTGCCACCTTTGCCTTGTTTCTTAAATAACATGGAGAAGGGGTGCGTAGGACCAGCCCGAGACTCAGTACAGTGATGGACATGCCCCATCTCCAAATGCAGGAGGAGATGCAGAACAACGTGGAGGTGGTCCACACCTACCGCCAGCACATCCTGAATGACATGAACCCCGGCAACCTGCACCTGTTCATCAATGCCTACAACAGGTACGGGGGTGCTCGGCCACGTGGGGGTGGGAGGGACTAGTATTACTCACCGTGTCGCTCAGCCACTCACTGAGTTTGTAAGCACGTCCTGAGAGCCCCAGGGCATCAGCTTTTGGCTGAGCAGTGGGGACGTAGGAGGCACATGCTGGGACTATGAGGTGGCACCACTGGAAATGCAGGAGTCCTGCAATCTCTGACCACGTCTGTGGACATGGAGGCTGAGGTCTGGAAAGCCATGTGACCTCGTGCAGGGTCGGGGTGAGGGGCTTTTCCAGAGCAGCCAGTGGAGGACCGTGAGACTTGGCACGGGGAGTGGGAGGCGTCCTCTGGGCAAGGGCCGCTGATGCCTACGGTGTTTGTTGCCTGTTTACAGCCGGCGGGACCTGGAGATTGAGCGACCAATGCCGGGAGCCCACACAGTCACCCTGCAGTGAGTTGCCATCCTCTGCCCACAGTCGGGGCTGTCTGCTGTCTGCTTAGCCTAGTGCACGGGGGTGGCAGGGTCGCACAGTGCAGCCAGTGAGAATGGGACGGGTTCTGTCCAGAGCTACGCTGTCTGACATGAACTTCCGCCTGTGCAGGTCACATCAGGTCCTGGTGACTGCACTGTGGACACCCACTATGTCTGTGTAGGCTTTGCTTCCAGGGCTTGGGACCCAGCCTTAAGGTGCTCCACAAACCTAGAAGGGAGGGACAGTCGAGGACAGAGCTACCCGAGATCCCACCAGTAGTGGACCATCTTGAGTGACCTTTGTGAAAGGGGCGCGTGTATTTTCTTGTCACTCATGCCTTCCTGCTCATACCTCCCTCAGGGAGACGGTGATTTCACATAAACATCAGGGCCCAGAAATACATGCCAAGGTGTACATGACTAGTCACGCATTTCCTCCTAAGAGCAAAGCAGAGGGTGGGGGAGAAGTAAAAATGGCAGAGGGTGCTAGGGATGACGTGGTGATTTTCTGTGAAGTCCTGGTCCCAGCCTGGCAGGCCTGCCAGTGGGAGACCCTCCAAATGAGCCCGTGCTAATCCTCTCCCTTCTCTCCCGGACCCCAGGTGCCCCGCTTTGCTGGTGGTTGGGGACAGCTCGCCTGCCGTGGACGCAGTGGTACGTAGAAACCAGCAACTGCTTTGCGTGTTTAGTTCAGCAGTCCAAGTCCGGGTGACATTGGTGAAGTCTCCCATTCAATCCCTGCCCCATCAGGGCAAGTGACTTTTTAATGCCACATTGGCCCAGCCACAGCCTCTCTCCCTGGGGCTGGCAACCTAGTTGCTTGGCAGTGGCCTCTGGTCTCCTTCCTGAGCCTCCTGCCTCCCATTGGCTTCCCACTGGCTTGTTCATGTGGGCGTGCTTGCCATTGCACTTCCTGACCTAGACGTGCCCCTCAGACTTGGGCACCAGAGTGCGTCTTTGGACCTGATTAGTGCCTGACCCCCTGGCAGGGGACAGAGGCACCTGGGAAGCAGGGCTTAGGCAGAGCCGCTGGCCCACTTTGACCACTTGATTCCCACCTGTGACATTGTAGAGGCAGCAGGAGGACTCTACCTTCCCGATATCCTCATAGCCGGGGGGGAGATAGGGGACTGAGGAGCTATGGACCAGAGTCCTGGAGGGCTGATATGCCTTGTGCAGGGGGCTACAGAGTAGAAGATTCAGACATTCACATAGTGAAGACGATGGGTATCTTAGTGGACCATGAAACTTTGGGGGACTAACCCACTGACGTTAACCATAGGATGCATCAACAGAGATCTATTACTCATATCAAGGTGATAGTTGTGTGGTACCCACTTTGAACATCGAAGTACCATATATATGGGTATCCTGCTCAATTCTGGATGCTGCTTTTAAGAAGGCCACTGACAGTGAAGAGAGAAATCAACTTGGGTGTGGTTTTAGGTGGAGAATCAATGTTGGAGCTGGAGATGTTAGACTACAGAATGTAGCAGCCGCTGATTAAACAAGGCTACTCATTAGGCAGGTGCTTCTGGAGTACCTCTTACATTTTATAACAAATCTTTGAATAAAGATCTTATTGCTATTTTATTAACGAGGAAACAGGATCACAGAAGCTAAGTGACTCGTCCGAGGTTACATACAGAGCTAACCATGGCAGGGCGGGAGTTAAAGCCAAAGCTGCATAATCCCAAAGTTCACAGCTTTCTTGCCAGTAGGAATAGTAGAGTTTCTGATGATGGTGGCAGTGTGGCAGAGAAGGGGCAAAGTTTGACTTAGGCTCCGGGAAAAAATTGTTAAAATTCTAGAAAATTAATGCTTTTCTTCACCCTTATCCAGGTGGAGTGCAACTCAAAATTGGACCCAACAAAGACCACTCTCCTAAAGGTACAGGGAAAATAGGTTTGGGGGGGGAGTTGCATTCATTCTTTCTCAGAAAATTCCAAAGTTTTCTGCAAAATCGAGTCGTGCCTGATGAAGGCAAAGGTGTGGTCAGAAACCGTAGACGTCATGACTCCATGTGTCTGTTCGCAGACATCTATGTGAGTCTGGAAAGTGGTGTGAGTCTTCAGAGGTAGGATCCCTCTGGTGGACTGCAGGAGTCTCGAGGCTGCTGGTCTCAGGGCCCTAGGGACAGGTGGACCAGGAGTGACTTGCAGGGGCTCTCCCCTCCCCAGCGTCGGGCCAGCCTGTTTCTCTAAGACGGGCTCTGCTTGTGCAGTAGGAGAAAGCATCTCCCAAAGCCATTGAAGGGCAGGGCTTTCTCCCACAGGTTGGTGGAGCACTGGGCATGCTCACTCCCTCTGGCCGGTGGCAGGGTCTGCAGCAACTGCCACAAGTGCCCTGTCAGTTACGGCTGATTGCACAATCGCACCTCCAGGCTGTTTGCGGCAGCCTTGACCAGACACGTAGCATCAGGGCAGGAACCTCTCAGAGGGGCCTCCCCATCCTGACTGTACCCCTGTGAGGACACCTGTGTGGAAGAGCAGTGACTCTCCTGCATCGGGGGAAGCAGAAGAGGGTGGCATTTGCAGCTCACTGTACCTTCATTTCTTCACCTGTGCAAGGAGAATGCCTTTGAAAAGCACGAGGGGAGGACCCAGAGCTTACTAAGCTGGGTCATGGTCACTTCCTTATGAGATTCCCTTGGAAGGAAATCATGAGACTAGAAGATGCCGGGCTCCAGGCCTGAGTGCTGCTGCACTTTTAGTGCTGCGTAACAAAGTACACAAACTGTGTGGCGTCAGAAAAACACTCTCACAGTTCTGGAGGCTGGAAGTCCAAAATCAAGGTGGCAGCCTGGCCGTTAGAATCCTTCCCTGCCTCTGCTGGCAATCCTGGTGTCCCGTAGTCCATAAGAGCATCCCTCCAGACTCTGCCTCCCTCCCCATATGTCTTTCTCCTCATGTTGCCCCCAGATTTCCTTCTTCATTAAGGATGTGAGACATTGAGTTTAGGCCCACCCTAATGCAGCATGACCTCATCTTAACTGATTGTACCTACAGAGACCCTATTTCCCTGGAGTTCCAGTTCTAGCATCCCCATTGCTGCCTCCGGTTGGTGAGGCCTGGTGCAAGTGCTTGGGGACCTGGCCGGAAGCTCCCTGGGCTGTAGCATGGCCACAGCCCTACTCACACTCGTTGACTCCTCGTAATCCTGTTTCCTGCCAAGGCACCTTCACCTCATCCTCCCCAGCTGTCTGAGTACTCTCAGCCCCTCAGCCCTGCCTGTTTCCGTGTCTGGAGAGATAGCCACACATGCCTGATGTGTCTTTAATGATAGGAAAATGGCCTAAGGTTTGGTGATTCTAAAGGAGCTTTGAAAGTTACACCATTTACAAAGAGTAGCCAGTCAGGAGCCCCATCAGGCCTGAAGCCTGGAGCCCAACAGTGTCCTTTTGAGGGTATCTTTAAAGGGAATGTGTGTAAAAGTCTTCGCACATCAAACCCTTTCTGGTCTGACATATCCCATCTGGAATTTCGCAGGTGCTTGAAGCTCTCTCTGGCCCAGTTTTCTGCCTCTAAACTAGGACAGTTGTGTCTTCCATGTTCTTGGGGGCTGATCAAGATGGCCCTAGGGTCTAGTGTGGTGCCTTGCCACCGCAAGGTCCCAGTGCCCCAGGAGACACAGTCAGATGCTAGGAGGATGGGGACGAGTGTCGGCAGCCTGGTTAGGTGCAGCCGGTGCCCTAGTCCATGGGCGGGCAGCAGGTGGGCAGGTGCCCACAGAGCACAGATGCCTATGTGGGGTGTTGGCACTAACCAGCTCTTGCCCTCCCAGATGGCGGACTGTGGCGGCCTCCCGCAGATATCTCAGGTGAGACATCCTTTTACTTATTTATCTCCATGTCCTTTCTTCACCTGGCCATCCATCTTTTCTTCCTCTCTCCCTTCTTTCATTCTAGCCACCTTTTCTTCTTTCCTTCCAACTGTCTATCCTTCATCCTTTCCTCCTCCCATCCAGCCAGCCTGCTGTTGAGGGTGATGGTGAGCTGCCTTGAGAACATAGGTTCTGGGTTCCAAATGTGGCCCACCCCTTAGCTGTGGGGCCTTGGGTGGATCGTTCACCCCTCTGAGGCAGCTCAGCTGGGAAATGTATGTGGAGTAGCCCCAGACTCCGAAGGGGTTGGCAGGAGGGAATGCAGTGATTCTGTCCCCAAGAGGCAGCAATGCTGTACCCCACAGTGCCTCCCAGGACCTCAGCAGGAGGTGTGGCAGCCCACCTTTCCACAGGTGAGGAAGTAGCTCAGGCAGGCCATGTAACTCACCCAAGATCCCACTACTGTGATGTGCATTTGAGTCATTTCTCCTGGTCAGAACTAATGTTCATCCCCATAATTATCCCATAGTTTTCCTTTGACTTTGGCTTTTGTCCTGTCAAGCCGTGTCTGGAGCCAAGCTCTAGAGTGGAGGTGTCAATAGGCACAGTGCCATGTGGTCCTCACTAACCAAGAGCACTTTCTGTCTTGTTCCCTTGCAGCCAGCCAAGCTTGCTGAGGCCTTCAAGTACTTTGTGCAGGGCATGGGATACAGTGAGTATGGGGTTTCCTGCAGCACAGTCGAGCGGAAGGTGTGGTAATGGGGCACTCAATGCCCTGAGCTGGTTTAGGTGCATACCCTGATTGGTGGGGAGAGGAAGGAGCATTGGGGGTTTGCAGTTGTCCAGGTGCTCTTGCATCTCATTTATTTCTCAGTGGCTCATTTTTCCTCCTTTGTTGAACAGAAGAAGTTGTTTAAGAGCAAGAAGATTTTTTTTTTTTTTTTTTTTTTTTTTTTTTTAAGACTTCATTTAAGGACCAAAAAGATGACAAACTAGGAAACAGCGAAATTCTTTTTAATTTTGATGACATACTTTTTTTTTTTTTTTTCAAATTGCCAGAGGCCTAAGAGAAGAAGGCATCCCACCCCCAATAGGGTGTGGTCACACCACAATCTTTTCTCTATGTCTCCATCCTGTTGGGATTTGGGACATACATGCACACACGCCTGCCATGTTTTTCAAGCCATCATGGCCAGGATTCGAACTGTGTTTGGCCATGTGGGGACTAGCTTTCTCAACTAATTGACCACAGGCCTTGCTCATCATGAGAGATTTTTATAAGTATTTTTTTCTTCATATAACCATCACAGTAAATAATCCTCTGCAATATTCTTATCCTCAGTTTACAAGTGATGAAGCTGAGGCTTTGAAAGTCTAAGCAGGGAACAGAGTGGGGAATCTATAAAAATCCTTTGAACAGTGTAGAGTTCTGTGTGAGTGGGTGATAAAATTGCTTACAGTCAAGGCAGAATCATTTGCTAAATTATTAGACTTAGGAGTTGAACAGTGAACAGAAGCGTAATTCAAGAACTTGATGCTTCGCACTCTACAGTTAGCGTTGATTCGTTGATGGGCCACATGCAATCTTGTCCTAGAGGTGCCCACCATGGCGAGTGTCTGGCTGAATACTCTGGTGAGGAGCAACTTGGGCGGTGCCAGCTGTGGTCCAAGCCCGACCATAGTTCTTGTGGCCCTTCTTGTTATTGTAATTCATGTGCCCTTCTTAATAAGGAAGGCCTCAAACTTCTCATCTCTTGTTTTTCCTTAAACTGTTCACCTGTTAAAAATAGTAGCCTCATGTATGGGAAGGCACTCACCGTCTCCAGATGGGCCTCGGCCATGCGTAGTTGCTGCCAAGGCAGAGAGCAGAGAGTCTGATTTACATGCTTTGGCCCGATCCATGTCCCGAGGCGGCCTCCTCCACCATGGGCTCCTGCCTCTCCCTCCCACCTTCCCTATGGGAACCACTGCGCAGCCAGAGGCTGGGACTGGAGAAAACCTTGTTTACCTTGCAGGGCGTGACAGACAGGCCGTTTGTCTTGGACCTGCCGTGGGTTTAGATTTCTGCTTCAAGAGTGCATTCTGGGGAGACAGGAAATGAAAGCCAGGCCTTGTTTTTTTCCCCCAAATTAGCTTTTATTTCCAGGAAGCCAGAGCATCCTGTAGGTGGTGGGGAAACCAGCAGGAAGGACTGTAATCCCCAGGGATCAACCAAAGACAGAGAAAGGACTTGTGGTCGAGTGCCTGCTCGACGGTGGGCCGGTGACTAGCCCTTGCACACCTGATATCACCCTTAGCCCTGGGAGGTCAGCAAGCCCCCCAGATTTGGGATCAAATATCAGATGTTCAGAAAAAATATGTCACTTTTTTAAAAACATCTTTTTTCTAGAGAAAGGAGGAGAAGGGCCTCTCCCCCCCACCCCAGTGGGGTATGGTCACAATCCCTTCTCTACCATCTCCATCCTATCTGGATTTGGGGTACTTATATACACATACTGGTGTGTTTTTCAAGCCACTGGGGCCAGAATTTGAACCCCATGGTCAGCCATGTGGAATTTGGTTCCCTTAACCACTAGGCCACAAGGCTAGCACCAAATCTTTCAAATTTAAAGCTAATGCTCTAGAAGAGATTTGGTCCAGCAAGGATGAATTCTTCTTCTTGTGAGTATGTGCCATAGAACGCCAACCCTACACCTCCCACGTGGACCGTGAATCCCTACAGGTCGGCCATCTCTGTCCCGACGTAGTCAATGCTGTCCTGATAATGGCACTTCCATGTGGTTGAATATTTATTTCCTGGGACTGCCCTAACAAGATCCTACAAGTTGGGCCACTTCGAACAACAGAAATTTATTTATTTCTCCCCAGTTATCGAGGCTAGAAGTTGGAGTCTCAGGTCAGCAGAGCCGTGCGCTCACCGAAGGCCCCAGGACAGTTGCCTTCTGGGCCTCTTCCCATTTCTGGCAGCTCCAGCAGTATTCCTGGCCTCCTGTAGCTGGCCACCACGTCACTCCAGCCTCTGCCTCTGTCTTCAGATGGCCTGGCCCTGTCCTGAGGGTCTGCATGCCCGCTCTTCTAATTTCCTTATTGAGGATGCCAGCCGTTGCATTTAGGGCCCGCCCTGGTCTAGTGCAACCTTATCTCAACTACATCTGCGAAGACCCAGTTTCAAATCCAGTCACATTCTGAGGTTCCAGGCAGATGTGGATTTGGGGGAACACCAGCCCAGTGGAGGTGGGAGGACTGTCAGCCACCTGCTCCGCGCAACGGTGCTCTAAGTCTCAGAGGAGATCGTGACGGCTGGACAGCACCCTTGGTCAGCTCTGGGAGCCGCAGGCTGCTCAGGAAGAGAGATGACGCCCAGTAGTGCTGCCTCCAACTTGCCGTGTGGCCTCAGTTTCCCCACCTGTGACATGCAGGGACTAGCCCTGCTGCCTCAGGCGGCCTCCCCACCCTGCTCACGTGGGAGATATAGGGCAGCACAGACACTGGTTAGAGGGGTCTGTGCTGGTGTTCCCTTCTCCAGGTGGGCAGGGAGGCTCCCGGAGCCACACAGCTGCTAGGAGTGGCAGAACTGGGATTCAGACCCTGCTTTGGGTTCAGGCCACTTATTGGCTGTGACAGTGGGTCCTTCCATGCCCTTTCCCCCGACCCCTCTTAGTGACTGCACAGAGGTGACAGGCAGAGCAACGGCAGGATTAAGGCAGGATGTGAGGACAGCTCAGCGGGGCTGGCACTGGGAGGATGTCATGGCAGGTGGGCAGGTGCATCTGGCCCCACAGAGGTCTTCTGTTTTCTTCCTGACCAGCTGTCTTCTGTTTTCCCAGTGCCCTCTGCCAGCATGACTCGCCTGATGCGGTCCCGCACGGCCTCTGGCTCCAGTGTCACCTCTCTCGAAGGCACCCGCAGCCGCTCCCACACCAGCGAGGGCACACGCAGCCGC